CACACGTAGGTGACATAATTACCTTTTTTTTAGTGTATAATGGGACACATTTAATATGTCAATATATTTTATAAAATTATTAAATTTATTATTTTACTAACTAAATTGTAAAATCATTTTCGAATAAATTATATTCTTTGCAATTTTAAATTTAAATTATGTATATTTAAATTTTTAACCGAATTTAGCTCAAAGTATGCTAGTTTTTTATGACTAGCATGTTCAACATCTCTACTTGTCGATTAATAATGAGAAATTTGCACCCCATATAAGAAGATTCTTCAATTTTTGCAACTCTACCAGAGTAACTAAAATAATTGCATATCTACATAAATCAACATATTTAATTAGATAAGTTATCACATCCTTTCCAACGCCCTCCCCTTATTATATTATGCGCTTAAATTACCATTTCATTCTGAAAAAAGAAAAAAAAATCGCTAGCTTGATATTTACATTGGTTAGAAAAACATCATCTCCGACTCCCTAGCTTCTATATCTTTGTGTCATTTATATTTTTAGGAAGATTCATGTTTTATATTATTTGTTAGTTAATAATTCATTCGAACTCCAATCTGATTAGAGTGTTTAGGATTATTTTCTTTTTGTATGTGATCGATATCAAAGCTAAATTCCGAACTGCCTTCCTCGAGAGACGTACATGAGGATACCAATCTGATTAGATTCAGTACTAGATAGAAATATATTTTGCTACAACAATACATACTAAGAGACGTGCATGAGGATTATTGTGGTGTTAATTGGAAAGGTACTACGAGCTGACGTGCTGGGTGTTTTTTGTCCACGATGCAGGCTATCGCATAGGAGTTTGTACACAAGTGTCTCATGTGCTAGCACCACAGACGTTGATCCACTGGACGGCTCAGAAGATGATTCACATGAGTTCGTCATTACCACGATGGACATAGTAGGTCCCGTAACGCAAAAAATGGCCAAAGAAAGTTTCTATTTGTGGCAATATACTATTTTAGTAAGTGGGTAGAGCTGAGTTGGCAAAGATCACAGAAGATAAGGTCGTGAAGTTCCTTTTCACCAATATTTGTTGTAAATATGGCATACCAAGTGTGCTCGTGTGCAATAATGGAGCTCAGTTCAAATTTCAAAAGATAATGGCTTGGTGTGAGTCCATAAAGATCAGGTAGCATTTTGCTTCGGTGGCCCATCCGCAGGCTAATGCATAGGTCAAGGTCACGAATAGGTCAATCTTGAACGGGCTCAAAGGCCAACTGGAAAAGACTTCGGGAGCTTGGGTCGACGAGCTCGACTAAGTTCTATGGGCTTATAGGACTACATCCAGGATCTCAATAGGGAAGACACCATTCTACATGGTGTATGGTATGGAGGTCGTTATTCTGGTCAAGATTGGCCTCCTCTCGGAGCACATATCCATGAATGATCAAGAAGAAGAAAATACCAAGCTGTAGTAAGAGGCGTTGGATCTTGTGGATGAGATTCGTGACAAGGACAGGATTCGAACAAAAGCCTACAAGCAGAGGATGAGGTCGTCCCATGAGAAGAGGGTTAGGTCTTGCAAGTTCCAGGCAGGCAAGCTAGTGTGGCAACAGGAAGATATACTCAAGCACATTGGCAAGATTGAACCTGATTAGAAAGGGTCGTACGTGATCGAATAAGTATTTACAAGAGGTTCTTACGAGCTGAGTGATGCTACGAGCTGAGTGATGCTCGAGGGAAGCTCCTACCTAGGCCATGAATGTGGCACACCACAAAAAAGGTACAATGTTTAAGTCATGTTAGCTCGTTTATAATAATAATAATAAGAAGAATAATAATAATAATTTTTCTTATCACGCACGATGCAAGTTGAAGTTTAAGTCTAAGTATTTATGAAGGGGAAAACCCTGATCAAATAAGCTCAAGGGTCCAAGTTTAAAGGGCAAAACTCTGATCATACGAGCTCAGGTGCTCAGGGTTAAGTGGCAAAACCTATAGTGCTTAGCTCAAGATCCAAATATTTCTTAAGTGGTAGAACCTCAAGTGGTTAACTTGAGGGCCAAGTATTTGTTAATGTGGCAGAACCCCGATCGTTAAATCAGGGTCCAAGAATTAAATGGTAGACCCTCGGGGGCCATAAGTATTAAAAAGATAGAACCCCGAGCAAGTAGCTCGAGGCCATATATATTAAAATCTAGAACCCCAAGCAGATAGCTCGGGGTCCACGAGTTTAAAGACAGAACCCCAAGTAAGTAGCTCGAATGCCATAAGTTTATAAAAGTGTTCGACTCTCGATTATTTTTAAAGTGGCATGTTAAATATCCACCACCAACTTTAGTGGAATTATCTAGAATTGTTGTGAAGTTACAAAATAAAACACTAATAGAAAATAAATAAATAGCTTGTGGGATAAGATATTTACCTTCGCATTTGTAACTGTGTAGAAATCTTGCATGCTCAATGTCGGTTAGTTCCACCGACATTATGAACTATAAATATAGGTTAGTGCTCATGTAATGTGCGTTAGAATTGTTGTGAAGTTACAGAATAAAACACTAATAGAAAATAAATAAATAGCTGGTGGGATAAGATATTTACCTTCGCATTTGTAACTGTGTAGAACAATCTTGCATGCTCAATGTCGGTTAGTTCCACCGACATTATGAACTATAAATATAGGTTAGTTCTCATGTAATGTGTGTTAAGAAAAGTGAGAGTGTTAGTGTCTAATTAGTATAAAGTATTTAGAGTGTTGTGTTGTCTAGTTACTAGATAAATATTTCTAGGTATTTTGGTAATAAGTGAAGCGTTGTTTATTGGTCCATATTGTGTGTTCGTGTAATTACTTTGTTAATCTAATAAAATAATTATGTTAGTGTCCATTTTTTGTGTGTGTACCCAACTTAACAAGTGGTATTAGAGCCAGAAGAGTTAAGTCTGGCGTTGGTCGAGGTACGAGTTATTGTGTCAAGCTTCTTGGGTGTAGTTTTGCAGTTTTGCACTGCGACGTTCGTGTGAAGTTTAGTACTGCAGAGTGTGTGGCGAGTTGATTGAGTGGAGCCACGATGGAAGACCTTCAAGTGGTCGGAGGTATCAAGAAGCTTAACAGTCATAATTACAACATGTGGTCGACGTATATGGAGTCGTATTTGCAAGGGCAAGATTTGTGGGAGATTGTGAGTGGTAGTGAGGTTACACCACCAGAGGACTCTGCATCTTTGAAGAAAATGAAGGTTAAAGCTGGCAAGGCTATGTTCGATATCAAGACCACGATCGAGGAAGAGATGTTAGAGCACATTAGAGACGTGAAGACACCGAAGGACGCATGGGACACATTCAAGGGGTTGTTCTCGAAGAGAAACGATGCGAGGTTGCAAATTTTGGAGAATGAGCTTCTCTCCATCACTCAACGAGACATGGCGATAAACCAATATATTGCTAATGTAAATTCTCTTTGTCGTGAAATCTCTAATATAGATTCTTCTGCTAGTATGTCGGATTCTCGGGTAAGGAGAATTATCATTCATGGATTGAGGCAAGAATATAGAAGTTTTATTGTTGTTTTGCAATGTTGGCCGACCCAACCTTCTCTTGTAGAGTTGGAAAATTTGCTAGCTGACCAAGAAGCGTTAGCTAAGCAAATATTCCAAGCCTCATCCAAGAATGATGAAGAATTACTTTTTCGTAAAGAATATCAGAGGTCGACACAATAAAAGTTATCATTGGAGGAAAATAAACGGCGTCCACAAAGATGAAGACGAGAAAAGTGCTCATTTAGGAGGAGCATAAAGGAAAGAAAATTTGAGTGGACAAACTCAAGGAAATAGAAAATGTGAAGGAAAACACTATAACTGTGGAAAGAAAGAACACATAGCAAGGAATTGTTGGTCGAAGAAGAAACCAGCGGAAGGAAATGCAATCATGTCTGATGAGGCACACAAAAGTGAAGACAAATGGTACCTTGAAGCATTAATTGTAGAAGACGAAGTTGGTGAAGAAGTCGAGATGGCTTTAACAGCATCCGTCGTTAAGCTTGTCGACTCAGATGATGAGTGGGTAGATAATTCTGGAAGCTCAAGGGACGAAATAGGAGACATGAAGGAGTTACCAGATTCAGTAGAGTATAGTGAAGAGTGTAAGATGACAACTGACGACTTGAAGATCAATCAAGCGTCAAAAACCCACAAAAGCAGAGGTTAGCAAGAGTGCTTAACCAGGATTCGAGGTACAAAAAAACAATTAAAGAAATATGCTCATGCGGAAATACCTTACATGATGTGAGGTGGCCAGGAATAATACACGAGCAACGGGAACAACGAACGAGCAAAAGTTGGTGTTGAGGGGGAGTGTTAAATATCCACCACCAACTTTAGTGGAATTATCTAGAATTTTTGTGAAGTTACAATATAAAACGCTAATGGAAAATAAATAAATAGCTAGTGGGATAAGATATTTACCTTGACATTTGTAATTGTGTAGAACAATCTAGTATGCACAATGTCGGTTAGTTCCACCGACATTATGAACTAGAAATATAGGTTAGTGCTCATGTAATGTGTGTTAAGAAGAGTGAGAGTGTTAGTGTCTAATTAGTATAAAGTATTTAGAGTGTTGTGTATGTCTAGTTATTAGATAAATATTTCTAGGTATTTTGGTAATAGGTGAAGTGTTGTATATTGGTCCATAATGTGTGTTCATGTAATTACTTTGT